TCATCTCCGTTTTTATACTGCAAATGCGTTAAAAAACGCAACGCATACTCGTCAGCCGCTGAGCTTAGCTAGATATTTTCAGTTAGCTAGCTGAAGTTATCCAAATACATTGTCTGGCCAAGTTCAACAAAATGCCAGGGAGAATAAGGGTTTGTGTAGGCAAAAACGTTGATCACCTCAAAAACATGAAAATATTCTCATTTTCGTTTAACTGAATGCCGAAGCGAAACATGATTTTTTCTTTTTTTCTGTTGTTTTATTACCATTATTGCATTTCCAGCCTAAAAGTAACTTAAACTATATTCAATTTAATGTTGAAGCGCTACATTAAATTTGGATCTTCAAAGGAATGAAATCATACGAATTTTTTTCAAATGGTTTTTTTTTTATTTAATAATTTCGAGTTTTGTTATTCCAATAAATTGTAGCTTAAAGACGAATAAAAAAAATTCAAAATAGAATCTGGTGCATTAGTTTTTCTTTCGACGTTTGGCCTGACTGGCTTTCTCCTTTTCCTTGTCTTCTTTTTCCAGAAATTCGGCGGCTTTTTCCAATGGATCACCTTGGAAGATGTCATTAAATTCGTTGAAGATGAACGTTGTTTTGGGTCTGGTGACTTCGTATGTGGTCTTTTGTTCCAAGCGATTCACGTAACGATCTTTGGCTGCTTTTCGCAACAGCTGACGATGCTTTGATGGGCTGACATACTCTGGATTTTCCCATAACGGTTCACCGCCAAATGAACCGTCGAAAATTTTGACCGGGTTCATCACAAAACGTGGGCCAATCTCACACAAACCACCATCTTCGGATAGAATTTGAAAGTTTCTAAACCAAATGCGTTTATCCAAGAATGTGAACGAATAAACATGATCGAAGAATGGTTGTGATTTGGGATGGTGTTTCGGTACGCCGAAAATCTGTGTGAATAGCTCTTTAAGCAATTGCAAATACGGGAGGTCGTCGAATTTTGGATCGAACGATAGCAACGGACGTGAGCCTCTCAAACAGTTACCGGTGAGCTTGAGCTCTCCCAATGTGTGTATGTTTTCGATGAGAAATTTGGCTGACGGTCCTTCGGGCACATTTGAGAACCACATATACAAATCCTGTTTGCGGCGACCTTCGAACAATATGGATTTGTTGCAATGCTTCATGCTGCACACTTCGTTGACCACGCTCAACGTTTTCGATCGCTCCATCTTCGATTCCTCGCGATGGTGAGGCATCAACATGCGCAAATCTTTCATCAAATGACGATCACGATGATTTATACCACGTGCAGCAAACACCAAGACACGCTGTTTGTTTATCCAGTTTCTCTAAATTTTGGTGAATAAATGGAATTATGAGCCACTCATCTCCGGTTTCAAAGTTGAGAAAATGTATTCTTACCTTATTCGGGATTACATCGTCCGACTGTCTGGTGCTGGGCAATGCAACTTCTTCATTTTCAGGTTTTTCCTTTTGTTGAACCTTTTTCTTCTTTTGTGTCTTAATTTTGGCCATTTTTCAATATCAATACCGTTTTATCACGCGTTCTCAACTAATCGTTTGTTTAAAGTTCGATGTCGGTGTCAGTGTCGACAAGCACATGGTATTTTGACAGATTCAAAACGAGTGCGTTCAATCACACTCAATGAACGCACCTTTTCGTTTGTTATTTTTTTCTTTTTGACAATTGCGAAGAAATACATACAATAAACAGTTTTGGCTGTGAGCAGAAAGAAATTCATTAGTTTTGACAATTATTTTATTATTTCAACTATTTTAGCCAATTGCAAGAGTATTTACTTATAAAATTCTGATAATATACAGTGCAATTGAGAAAGTTCTTATCAACTGTCGCCTTATCTCGTTGTTTCAAAATCAGTGAAAAAGGAAAGTGTCACTTACACAATACACTTGCATAATTTTGTGTGTCTGATGAACTGATGAACGAAACTCAGCATTTGTATGGCAAAAACAATGTCGATAAACGTAATCGAAACAGAGACTCAAAACGAAACGAATAAAAGAATGGACGTGTTGTCCATCCAGCCGCATTGGAAGTGTTAAACTAATTGAGTGCAGCGATAGCAACGATATAGGCCGAGTTGTCGTTGGTATTTAGTAAAAATTTTTAGTTTTTTCGTTCGTCTGAGCCCACATTTTGCCATTTTTTTTATTTTGTTTTTTCGTTGTTTTACTTTTTGTGGCCTTTATCGTTGTGTTCTCATTCATTTAATTAACAATCAGAGTGCAGTATACAAACACATTTTATCGTAGAGAAAATTGTAAATTCGGCTCATATGTAACGAAAACTAACTGAATTTCTGACGAATGAACATAATTTTGCAAGTGATTTTATGTGTTAACTTCGATTAATTTGCTGTGGCACATTCATATTGTGCATTATTCAACGTATCATTGTTTGTAAGTATACATTGAATATTCGGCTAATCTTTTGATATTTTTCTAATTTTTTACAAATATTTGCGACGGTGAGCTTATACCGATGATACATTATCAAGGACATTCGCAATTTTGTATTGCGAATATTACCACCGCACTCAATCAACAATCGTTGTTGGTTTTTTTTTTTTCATTCGCTGTTAAATTCCATTTGTGCGTGCTTATTTACGGGTACATCGTCTTCCAATTATTTGTGACAAATACAATCGCAAAACTCAAACATGCCAATCATTTAGAGAAGACATTTTGTGTTTTAAACGATTTGATATAATAGAACTTGTTTCCATTATATATATTTAGACTTATTAACCGTCGATGAGATCGGGAGAGGTCGGTTCGTTTCTGATGAAAAATGATTTTTATTATAGCTACGACGCAATGAAATTTACAAAAAAAAAGCGAAATGTTTACAATGTATAGGGGACATTGCTGCAGGTTGAGAATTGCTGCAGGTTGAGAATCGTTACTTTTTTTCACTATACGTGATCATATCGCCATCGGAATAGTTTTGAAAATATAATTTTGAGGCCTGTTCTTTTTTTAAAATTGTTCTGACAGAACTGGCGTTTGTTTTGATACACTTCCAATACGCCCATAAATTTTTGTGCGAAAACTTGTCATTGCCGAATGTCATAAAGTGACTATTTTGCATTGAAAAAAGAGTCGGGCAACAGTTTTTTTGTAGTATTTTCATTTCTCTTTACGATTCAACAAGAATTATGTGCATTTTGTGGTGTTGAAAAAAAATTGCGAGTCTCGGTAAAAATATCTATAAAACTGCAGGTTGAGAAAGTGACTTTTTTGCAGGTTGAAAAAAGATATTTTTTACAATATAAAAGATTTTATTGTTTTTCTCGTTTATGAATTGAAGAGTAAATAAGTCATTTAAGATGACTTTTTTTTCGAAAATTCATTTATTTAATCAAATTTATGATTGGACTACCATTCAGGAAATGGACAACGAATCTGATGAATTAGAGTAATTTTTGGGCTCCAAATTGCTTTATAGAGCAATAAAATCATCATAACATTGAAAGTATATCATATTTTTATAGTTTTTTTTTTTACATTTTAAATAACAATTTTGAAAATTCTCAACCTGCAGCGAAAAAAAAAAAAAATTCGCCATTTTCAGCATCTTCAGAAATTTGACCATAAATTTTGTTTTTGAAAAGCAATTGCATATGTTTTTTAAGCAAAATTATAGCTCAAGACATTATCTATCCAACGGTACCTTAATCTCTTCTAATTGTTCACTCCTGACAAAGTTATGACCAAAACAAATAGTGGTAGCCAACCTGCAGCAATGTCCCCTAAATATAAGCAAAAAGTCTCGGTATACACTCACAAAAACACAAACGCACACAGTACCGTCAATCATAAGTTTGGCTTTGTTCGTGTCAGGTGCTATGAGAACATTTTAGTAATAGCTACATTTTGTTCAGATTGAGATTGATTATCAGTTTTGTTATTTTGTAACAATTCATCCAATATTGTCACGAATTTTCTATCACAACATCATTCATACGATCCAGTAAGTTTTCACAGAAAAAAAAAAAAAAATAATGATTGGTCAATTGGTTACAATTCGAATGCTTGTGGTTGATAATAATGAATTAGCTTGGACTTTGTGTAGTAACAAAAAAATAATCTTTATCACGATCACAGTTTGGTCAATTTAATTTATGTCTAATAGCTGCATCACAGTTGAATTGTTTAGAGATAATCAATTTCGGTGGCATAAGCAATTTACACATATAATGTTTGCTTTGCTTCAGTTTGATTTAGATTACAGTTATTAAGTAGCCAGTGAACATCGCGATAATCTTCAAATTTTTCAATTTTCTTTAATATTGGTAGAAAAAGAAAAAGAAAAAAATAAACTTGAATTTTTGAAAAATATCATATAAACTCGTTGAACTCGAAAAATTCCGTTGAAATTGTCACGTATCATTGCAACTTTAACATATAACCACCGGTTTTTCGTCTACTTAATCGCTACGTTCTATTTGACTCATCTATTTTGCATAAGTGACGTGGTTTCAAGACTTTGATTTTGTATCGATCCTTTCACTCCGGATTCTTTACGACTTTTACGAAAAGATACGACACCCGCAGATAAATATAAATATTGTTTCAAAAGAAGTGTGCTTTGTTCAGTATGACGCATGATCAGAGCCAGAATGAAAATAATAACCCAAGCGAGAAAAAGCGGTGCGTAATTAAATTAAACTCGATACACAGTGCCAATAATATGCAAACCAAAAAAAAAACCGCCACTGTATTATGGAGTCTGTTTGGACTTTGGCGAAAATATCACGTTTCATACATATTCACTCATTGATTGTCGCTATTCTATACGTTAGGCGTCGTGTTATCCTATAGTCATTAGTCATTAGTCATAGATGCTATTTTTTGTCGACTGTTTTAGTTTGCATTGAAGTCAACTGACACGCTTTTGTTTTGTACAAGTGCGTTGAACCTTTTGTTTGAGTCTGTTCACTGTTGGTTGATTTAAATTTTATTGAATAGATAATTTTAGTTTCAAACAAGGTCAATGTAAAGTTTAACAGTTATGTCTTACAAATTTACAACGTCTTGGTTTTTTGCATAAACAAAACTTACTTATTTCATTGTCAATGTTTCCAAATATTATGATTGCAAAGTGAACGGCCAACATTTGTTATACTAAGACATGACATATAATAATACCTTTACGCTGAAAAATACATTTATTTACTACGCCTCGAAATTGTCTTGTCAATCCAAATAAATGGTCTCACTCATATCTGTGCATAGATGTAACTTTTACCCTGTCCGTAAACTTTGGAATGAACCCGGTTCATTTGTAGCTATGTTTAAAAGAAAATTACGATAAGCCAGTTATTTATCGCATTGTATTTGTCGGTGGTCAGTTTGTTGTGATGATATGCATAATCTAATACACACACTAAGTGGTTCTGTACATGTACAAAGAGCGGAAAAAAATCGGACTCTCTCACAATTATTTTGGTTTTTGCTTATCAACAACGAACATTTTTCTGGTGTTGCGCATTTTTCCACAATCCTACGTTGACGGAACAGTTGAGAAATCGTCTGTTTTCAAGTTATTCATTGCATCACATTAATAAAATCGTATTAATTAGTTTTAAGAGTGTGGATGAAAAGCGTTTCTAATCACGATCATTTTTTTTCCAATTTCCAGATCTAAACTTAACAAGGAAGAGACAAAACTCACCGCCACAATGTGCTTTCGGTGTCATCCTCAGTCGAGAAAATATTGGGTGTTCGGATGTGGGACATTTTTCATGTTGTTTGCGATAATTGTCGGTTTATTATGGCCAACGACGGCAAATTGGCTGTTACGCAAAGTAAGTTTATATTTAGTTGGGTGCCAATCTGTTTGGCTATAAAATTATCAATAGTTCAAAGTGGCTATTGATTTATGATTACACGAGTACTAAATATCTACGCATTTTTAAAAAAAAAAGTGTCAACAATCAGTATCTTATCATAAATTCCATTATGCGCATAGTCTACAGATTCCATAATCCATATGGCATGGATTGAGCCGAATGATACCCAGACAAATTAATTTTGACATTGACATCTTTTTCTTCTTTAGGAATTGGAATTGAAGGAAGGTTCAATGAGTTACAAAAATTGGATCGAGACCCCATTACCAATGTACATAAAATTCACGATGTTCAACTGGACAAATGCGAACGACATACACGAGCCAAGTTATAAGCCAGATCTCGTCGAAATGGGACCATACGTATTTACGGAGAAACATAAACGAGTGAACGTGACTTTTCATCCTGAAAATGACACTGTGTCATTTGATCAAATCCGGACGTGGCATTTCATGCCTGAAATGTCAAATGGCTCTCTAGACGACGAAGTTACGAATGTCAACGTAATTGCCGCGGTAAAGAGAATTCTTCTGTATTCAAATTGAAATTTCTCATCTCCCGACCAATTATTCTATGAATTTCTTTCTATAATCTATTGTTTCCGTTGTATAATTGTCATGTAACAAAAAAACTAATAAGTGTTGTACATAATTATATTCCAGTCCGCAGTATTTTCCCTGCGCCACTCCAATTATTTGATAAAATACGGTGCAAATGGTCTGATGGAGCTTCTGAAGGTGAAGTTGACAGTAACGAAGACCGTGCGAGAACTTCTGTTCGACGGTTATTCAGATCCATTCTTGTCATTCGTTAAGAAGTTCCCGGTGCCAAATGCACCGCCATTCAACAAATTCGGTTGGTTTGTCGACCGCAACGGATCGTGGACATTCGATGGTCATTTTGAAATGCGTACGGGTCAAGCGGACATGGAAAAAATGGGAACGTTAACTAAATGGAATTATGTGAAGAAGACAAAGTTTTATCACGATGAATGTAGCGAAGTAAGCGGCACTTCTGGTGAACTGTGGCCAATGGATATGAATGCAACTGCCGACATATCGCTATTCGTTACTGATTTGTGCCGACCATTGACCCTTGCATATCAACAGCAACACACTCGATTCGGCGTAACCGGAAGCCGATGGGTTGGCGACTCACGCGTTTTTGACAATGGGCAAAATTATCCACCAAATAGCTGCTATTGCACTGGTGCTAGGGAAAGTTGCCCAGATTTATTGAGAGGTGTTCACAATATGTCCGACTGTCGATTCGGAGCACCGGTTTTTGCATCATTTCCACACTTCTATCTCGCTGATGAAGCCTACGTTAATGCAGTAACTGGTTTGAGCCCGGACCAAAGTAAACACGAATTCTCGCTGTCGTTGGAACCAACAACCGGCATTCCGTTGGATGTCGATGCTAAAATTCAGATCAATACCCTCATTCAGCCAATTTCTGGATTTAAGTGAGTAAAATCATCCGAATGTTCCATTTTGAATCTAAATGCATTGATTCTAATAATTCACTCGCTTGTACTTGCTTTTCAGATTGTACAAAAATGTGCCGAAATTGTTAATTCCAGCATTTTGGTTCGCTCAAACCGTTGAATTGGACGAAGATATTGCAAAGTCTGCTAAGGTGAGAAAACGTTTCTGCTAAGATCAATTGTTTGATTAACGTCTTAATGTCATCCAATGCATGGAATAATACCTCAATGTGTGAAAAATTTCTGATTTTTTTCTTCTCATCCCTCACTAGATTGCTCTCCAATTACCGTCAATCGGAATGTACCTAGCATACGGAGTGTCTGGTCTCGGATTTATTCTGTTGTTGGTCGGTGCTGTGCTCACATACACCAAGTCATGGACAACCACATACGAAAATCTGGACGATGAACTCACAACCGACAGCACGGCCAGTTAAATTGCATCGAAACTAGTCAAACCACGACCAAATCCAATTGTTCCATTGGATCCTTGCCACGAGTATACATATACCACGAGTTTCATAACGAAAGCGGCGCCATTTTCAACGACGAGTTGTTCTTTTGTTTTTAATATTTTATCTAATTAGGTTTCTATTTCGCGTTCAAGATGTGATTGTGATAGCAATTTTGAAATTTCTAAAAACAATTTAATCTATCGAGAGAAAAATTTAAGTGCCAAAACTAAGAAAAAAATAGACATTCGATTTTGCTTATCGTTTTATCGATTTGGAAGCACAAAATATGTATGTTGTCAATGTCATCCTAAGTGGAGCAACACACAATCTCTTGACATGTTTCTCGGTTTATTACCGTCCGCTATTGAGCGCTTCCACATTCTAAATTCATTAGTTCAATTATAGCAAAAAAAAATTAGAGCATTTGAGCCGGTCAAGCATAGGCAAATGTTGTGCAACATTTGACAATTTATTATCATTATAAACCGTTCTATACAAATTGTGATTAAGCAATATACAACAAAATGAGAACAACCGTTTACTTGCCAGGTTGGTGAATATACACGTCAAACCAAATGAAAATGTAATAGTCATTGAATCGACACCAAAAAAACATAATTTAAATGCACGGAATTCCTAGTGCATTATCAACGAACAATCAACAGTATTGAAATAACTAAATGAGATTCACAACCTAGAACAAGGCATAGTATATTAATAATTTGGAACCTTTTTTTTTTCAAATACATTCCATTTTTAAGCCATTTTTTTGTCAATTAAACGAATTATATTTCTTTCTACATTTCTTTTATGCTTTTTATTTAAAATTTAAAGTCAATGTATATACAGCAGATTATTGTTGCACGTAAAAAGTATATATATATTTTTAAATTGCAGCATTGATAGAACATTGCAAAAATACAGGTTGTTTTTAAAGTCAAAAATAGATTACCAATAAAAACGAATCAACGATTCTCTTTTGATATCGATACGAAATCTAACACATCGGTCAATAAGTCCCGAGCCTAACCACCAAGTGGCAACA